GACACCCTTGGTTGGATTCTCTGGAGAATCGGTCTCTCCAGAAGGGTGTATTGACTTGCCGGTCACGATTAGGCAAGATGATACACAAGTAACTCAGATGGCCGAGTTCGTTGTGATTGACGGCAAGTCGGCCTACAACGCCATCTTCGGGAGACCCATCATCCATTCGTTCCGGGCTGTTCCCTCAACACTTCATCAAGTCCTGAAGTACTCAACTCCTAATGGAGTGGGCACAGTCCGGGAGAGCAGAAAACTTCAAGGGAGTGCTATGCCTCCGCGCTCAAAGGGTCATCAGTATGCATTCTAAAAGGACAAGCCAGTTGGGACGAGTTGCTAAAATCCGAGGCCGACCTACCGAAAGTAGGTAAAAGGGAGTTCTCAGCACCGACAGAGGAGCTCGAGCTTGTTCCTTTGCTTAGCCCTGAAAGACAAGTAAGCATAAGAACCAAGCTGGGGGCCACTGATAGGGAGGAGCTGGTCAACTTCCTCAGGTTCAACTCGGACGTTTTCGCGTGGTCCCATGAGGACATGCCAGGGATCGACCCGAAGATCATGGTTCATCGCCTCAACATAGACCCATTATTCCGGCCTGTAAAGAAAAAGAGAAGACCTGTAAATAGGGAGAGGAGTGATGTAATTGTTGAGGAAGTAAACAAACTTTTAAAAGCTGAATATATAAGAGAAATTCTGTATCCCGAGTGGCTCTCTAATGTTGTATTAGTTAAAAAAGCGAACGGGAAGTGGAGGATGTTCGTAGATTTTACAAATTTAAATAAGGTATGCCCAAAAGACTGCTTCCCACTACCAAGGATCGACCAGCTCGTAGATGCAACAGCAGGGCACGAGCTGCTCTCCTTCATGGATGCCTACTCCAGATACAACCAAATAAAAATGCATGTTCCAGATCAAGATCATATTGCATTCATAACAGACCAAGGTCTGTATTGCTACAAGGTTATGCCCTTCGGCCTAAAAAATGCGGGGGCGACCTACCAAAGAATGGTGAACAAGATGTTCGCCAAGCAGATCGGCCGGAATATGGAAGTATATGTGGACAACATGCTTGTCAAGAGCAAGCAGTCAAAGTCGCATCTTTCCGATTTGGCTGAAGCGTTTGAAGTTCTCCGAAAGTATCGAATGAAGCTCAATCCAGCCAAGTGTGCCTTTGGAGTCTCCTCGGGGAAGTTCCTTGGTTTTATGGTAAACAACCGGGGGATCGAAGCCAACCCAGAGAAGATAAAGGCCGTGCTCGAGATGGAAGCACCCAAGACTCTGAAGCAGCTTCAGTGCCTCAATGGCAAGATTGCAGCCCTAAATAGATTTGTCTCAAGGTCAATTGATAAGTGCCTTCCTTTCTTCAAAGTCCTAAGAAAGAAGGGACTATTTGAATGGACGGCAGAGTGCGAGCAAGCGCTAGAACAATTGAAAAACCACCTCTGCTCGGCGCCTTTGCTCGCCAAGCCCTTATCGGGAGACAAGCTCCACTTATACCTGGCGGTGTCCGATAGCGTTGTCAGCTCGACCCTAATCAAGCGAGAGGGAGTACGCCAAAGCCCTATTTATTACACGAGTAAAGCCATGACCGAGGCCGAGACCAGATATCCCCAAATGGAGAAGCTGGCCCTCGCCTTACTCACCTCAGCCAGAAGACTTAGGCCGTACTTCCAAGCGTATTTCGTCGTAGTACTTACCAACTTGCCCCTGAAGAGCATCTTCCACAGGCCAGAAACATCAGGGCGCCTGATGAAGTGGGCAATGGAGTTGAGTGAATACGACATCCAGTTCGAACCCAGAACTGCGTTGTAAGGGCAAGCAGTGGCATATTTCATCGCGGAGCTCACCCCACCGCCTCAGTCGGCCGAGTTCGACCTCCCGTGGACGATTTACGTTTACGGATCTTCTAATGAGAGATGGTGCGGAGCAGAAATCCTCTTGCTCGCACCAGGTGGCGGACGGTTCAAGTATGCTCTGAGGTTCAATTTTTGAACTTCAAATAATGAGGCTGAGTACGAAGCGCTTCTGGCAGGCCTACGCGTTGCCAGAGGATTGGGGGCCATGCACATCAAGGTCTTTAGTGACTCCCAACTAGTCGTAAATCAGATTAAGGAGGAGTATCGAACAAAGGACTCCCGGATGGAAAAATATCTAAGTAAAGTCAGATCCCACCTCGCCCAGTTTGAGACTTACGAGGTGAATCAAGTTCCAAGATCAGAAAATTCCAACACAGATGCCTTAGCCAAATTGGCATCAGCATATGAGACCGACCTGGCTGGGTCGGTCCCGGTCGAGATCCTGGACAACCCTTCAATCTTGGAGCCAAATTTGATGGAGGTTGACACTCCGGAACAGTCGTGGATGGATCCAATCGTGGAGTTCATCAAAGGAAATCCACCGCAAGATTCAAAGGAGCATAAGAAGATGGCGCGAAAAACAGCTCGGTTTATACTCCGAGATGGAGCATTGTATCGACGAGGATTTTCCCTGCCTCTCCTTAAGTGTGTAACTCTTGAAGATGGGAATTACATCCTCAGAGAAGTTCACGAAGGAGTATGCGGCAACCATTCAGGAGCCAGGTCGTTATCGGCCAAGGTGGTCCGACAAGGGTATTATTGGCCCACTGTTGAGCGGGATGTAAAGCAATTTGTGAAAACCTGCGACAGCTGCCAGCGCTTTGCAAGTATTATCCATCAGCCTCCCGAGCTGCTCACCCCCATCTCGGCCTTATGGCCATTCGCACAATGGGGAGTAGATATCATAGGTCCTTTTCCTCTGGGCAAAGGGCAAACCAAGTTCGCCGTTGTCGTTGTGGACTAGTTCACCAAGTGGGCTGAGGCCGAGGCGCTCACCCACATCACGGAGTCCAGAATCACATCTTTCATATGGACAAACATTGTATGTCGTTTCGGTATACCAAACGCTATTGTGACGGACAATGGAAAACAGTTCGACAATGCAAAGTTCAAGGACTTTTGCAGGAAGCTGGGCATAAGCCATCTCAGTTCGTCCCTTGCGCATCCGAAGGCAAATGGGCAGGTTGAAGCGATAAATAAAATTATAAAATGAAGGCTCCAGTTGAGATTGGACTCCAGAAAGGGGAGATGGGCCGAGGAGCTACCCGAAGTATTATGGTCATATCGGACCACACCAAGAGAGTCAACTGGCGAAACCCCATTCTCACTGGCCTTTGGCTCTGAAGCTGTCGTTCCGGTTGAGATCGGCATGCCGACCGACAGGGTAGAGCAGTACAAACCGCTAAAAAAATGAGGCCGAACTGCTCCTTAACCTCGACCTACTAGAAGAAAAAAGGGAAATGACTCAACTACAATTAGCAGAGTATCAAACCAGAATGGCCAGACATTACAATGCCCAAGTTCGACCTCGAAGCTTTCAAGTTGGACATCTGGTCCTCAGGAAAATTCAGAGTCATGTGGGCACCCTTGACCCAAGTTGGGAGGGACCTAGTCCGACCTGGAACGTACATGCTGGCCGACCTGGAAGGAAATGTACTTGCGCATCCATGGAACGCAGAGCACCTAAAGCGCTATTACCCTTGAAATGTCAAAATGGTCCTAAAATGGACTTGTAAAAATTTTCAAGGGGAGAACTTTTAATAAACAGAGTAATTTAATTTCATGACTCTGAGTTCGATCAGAAATTAAATGGGGGCCACAGACTCCCATAAGACTTAAAACTGACAAGGTAAATGTAAAAATTGATTAAATTCAAACCTCAAAACCCACGGGTTCGAGGTGCGATGTCAAAATCAATTATGAACCAAAATTCAATCCTTTGAACGCTTAAGTTAAAGGTGTGATGTGGAAGGTTCAAGAAATTCAATCCTCCAAACCCACGGGTTCGAGGTGCGATGTCAATATTAATTATGGACCCAAAATTCAACCCTTTGAACGCTTAAGTTAAAGGTATGATGTGGAAGGTTCAAGAAATTCAATCCTCCAAACCCACGGGTTCGAGGTGTGATGTCAATATTAATTATGGACCCAAAATTCAACCCTTTGAACGCTTAAGTTAAAGGTATGATGTGGAAGGTTCAAGAAATTCAATCCTCTAAACCCACGGGTTCGAGGTGCGATGTCAATATTAATTATGGACCCAAAATTCAACCCTTTGAACGTTTAAGTTAAAGATGCGATGTAAAACGTTCAAGCTGTTTAATATTCTTTTGGACTTCCGAGTTCGAGAAAAAATATTAAAGACCAGTAAAAGAAACTCTCAAATTCAAACCTTTTAAGTAAGCATAAGTAAAAGGTGCGATGTGAAAAGAGTTCATCCCACACTCAAAAGTTTAAACCTACGAGTTAGAGGTGCGAGATGAAATTATTCATATATGAGTTCAAATTTACAAAAGCAAGTTCAAAAGCTTAAGGAAAAAGCAATAAAGAACAGACAGAGCTCGATGTGCAGAAGTGAAGAAACGAAGATTTCATTGATTAAAGGACAGAGCCAAGACTTATATACCTTGTAGCTCTACCCAAATACTTACACAAAAAAAAAACAACAACAACACAAAACAAGTAAAATAGGCTGGAAACCTCAGCTACTTCTGAGGTGGGAGGACAGCTCGCCTTGGGAGTCCAAAAGGTTGACCTCCTGTGGACCCGCCCTGCTGCGAAGGGACCTCCTCCTGGGTGGTGCCGACCTCGACCTGCTCTTGACTAGGAGCATCTTCTTCCTCGAGATCAGAGTAGTCAGAGTCCAGCTCTCTAACGTACTTTTCCACCAAAGACTGGGGGCCAGGGGTGCTGTTAGGCCCAGACGCCCATTTTTCAGCATACTTCTTCTTTAGCTGGCTGAGGTCGATCTGAAGATAAGGCATGTCGGCAGTGATGCCCTTCATCAAGAACTTGAAGCCTTCACCACTGAAGTTCTTGGCAAACCCATTAAAGTATGGGTGTTGCCTGAACGCTTCTTCCAGAAGAGCTCCGTCGGTGAGGCGTACTTTCTCCACCTTGAGCTCGCCAGTAGACGCCCTATCACAGCCTCCTTCGCCTCGAGGGCCTGGAACATGTCGTCCTTCTCCTTTAAGAGTTGGAACTTCTCCTTCTCCAGTCCTTTAGTGATGGCATGGGCAGCTCGGAAGTGGGCCTTATGCCTCTCGTCCTCCCTCTTCAGCAGCTCGGCCTTGGCTTCCACCTCGGCCCTCAGNACAAAACAAGCAAAATAGGTGGGAAACCTCAGCTACTTCCGAGATGGGAGGACAGCTCGCCTTGGGAGCCCAGAAGGTTGACCTCCTGGGACCTGCCCTACTGCGAAGTGACCTCCTCCTGGGTGGTGCCGACCTCGACCTGC